CATGAGCCAAAGCGCTGCGAGTTCGCAAGTTCAACACACCAAAATAGACACCGGCACGCAGCTTCTCCAAGAGCCTAAGCTCTTCCTCACAACACCAAAATCAACAGCACATTCTTCCTCTAGTCAAATCACAAGTCAGCACACAAGTCATCCTCGTAGCATGCTTTTCAGCGTCTTCCTCTTTCCTGAACAGCTCTACACGTGGTTCCCGACGCCCGCACCGCACACCCGCACGTTCAAGGTCAAGGTCACTGTGAGCGCGCTTTTGGGAGGCGCGCCAGGCTGGAGGGTGGGCGTGGGGATGCCGTGAGAGGTTCATGGCCGGTCGTCTTCGGAAACGGGTCTCCTACGGCGTCAAAGACCCAGTGGAAAATTAGGATCGATTGGAAATTGGCTGTAATGGAGGCCGGACAGTGTGAGAACTGATGCGTCAGCACATAGTTGTGATGAAGTAGATGGGGTGGGCGTGTGTAGGACGTTACAATTTAAAAAGAAGTTGAAGACATAAGCAGCTTCAAATCCAACTCCAAATTCAAGCCGCAGATTTGAACGCCTTGACACAGACCAACTGTACTCCATGCCAATTAAATATAAACAAATATGTGGTGACTAAACGAAACAGACTACCAAAATGAGGAATAAATAACTGATTACGGCCGCAGTCATTTTCCCCAAAGCCCCCCCCCCCCCAAAGTGGCTCGTGCCTGCTAATACACAGAACCTAAAACACTATCTTCTTGGTTTAAGACACTCAGAAATTATCCCATACCATATGATTGCCTTATAATGCCTATACTGCTAATGCTGACTATTCCTTTCTTACAGGCATTGCTGGCCCGGGCGAGCAGAAATCTGAGAGTGTGAATCTGCTGTAAAGCCATCTTACAACTCACTGCCAGACAAGCGCGTGATAGAAAAAGACACCAGCATGAGACTCAGGTGAGTAAAAAAAAACTCACGCAACGGTAAGCTGTATACCATTTATTCTCATTACTTTTTCAGAATCAGGTTTATCAAGTGTAACATTTTGGTGATTCAGAGATAAAAATCTAGGACCGCAAACGAATTTAGTTATAATCGAAAAATTTGGATAGCACCTAATACAGTATGAACTGCAATCGACCAATGTTTGGTGGTACAGCGACCGACACTCGCCTTAAGACAAATTACGAGTATATATAGCTTTTCGCCGAATTTAACAATGACAGAATCATGCGTAGGTACTAAAGCTGCCAACCGATTCAAACAGGTTTTGTCTGAACCTCAATGAACATCCACAATACAAAGTGTACCATACCCTGTCGGCCGTCAACATTTGATTTTTTTTCGTTATCAGGCTAAACAAAACACCTTTTCAGGTGATCCCGGAACGCTGTATCATTCCTTTTACTAGTGTGTTTTGGATCAAACCCATTCCGCATACCCCAATCATAAAGTTGCCATTCAATGCATTGCCGCATTGACGAGACGGATAAAAGACGCGTTGCCTTTTGGCCAGAACCCAAGCCTAGTAAATGAAGCGGAAGAGGACAACTGGTATGCGCTATTTGCTGTGCCATTTCCATGCCTGAACGCTCCCCTTTTTGTTGCAAAAAAGCGGGGCTGATGCTGTCACTTTTGTAGTGACAATGACGCACCGATGTTACTCCGAGGTCATGTAGTCTGTTTATCGTTAGACGATAGAAAGCTTGCGTTGCCCACCGTACATTCAGACGGACAAACTCGAACACGAGAAATTAATTCTTATCCATCTCACCCCAGAATCTCTAACGTTATTTTTCTCTTTCCACAGCCACCTCGCACCACTGTGCGTTCTTCTCTGCCTCACCACGCCATCTGCCAAGGCCGTCAAATACTTCTGGCAGCTCTCTGACGTTCATGTCGACGGTGACTACACTGCCACTGCCGACCCGAAGGCCTGGTGTCACTCCGACACGACCGGCGCGGCGCGAGAAGAGTGGTTTGGCCAAATCGGCTGCGGCCTTCCGTGGCGCACAGTGGAGTCGGCCGTGGACTTCATGAAACGTCACATAGGAAGCCCCGAGGCGATCCTTTGGACGGGTGATACAGCTCCTCACTGGCCCTACACAGATTGGTCGGAAGTGTTCCCCAAGCTGCGACGCGTGAGCTCGATGCTACGTAATGCGTTCCCCGATGCGCAGATTCTTCCGGCGATTGGGAACCACGATGCGTATCCGAGTGATCAGTTTCCTGACGACAACGGAACGTACTACCAGGAGTATCTCGAGCGAAGCGGTTGGGGAGAGCTGCTTCCAGAGGAAGCCCGCCGCACCTTCCGTCGCGGAGGTTTCTATGCCGTGGATGTGGGCGAGTATCGCGTCATCGTCCTGAACACTGCGCTTTACTACACTCGCAACAAGAAAGTTAGCGAGGCGGGAGATGACCCCACTGGTCAGATCGCCTGGCTGGCGGAGGAACTGAAGACCAGAAAACCGACCATCGTCACCGCGCATCTGTCTCCCGGCTTCCCGCACTGGAGTATCTACACGCCGAACCTCTACACCAACTACAACTACAAGCTGCACAAGGAGCTGAACCGTGTCGGTACTCTTGAGCAGCGTATCGCTAACATCTTCGGCCACGAGCACATCGACACCTTCCAGAACGTCTATCGCACCGACTTGCCGTTTGAGAAGCACACGTACGCTCTCAACACCTACTTCATGGCACCGGCCCTGATGCCTGGCACACTTGACCAGCGCATCAACCCCAGCGTCCGACTGTACGCCCTTCTTCCGGACAAGCTCAATGACTACGTCCAGTTCCACTTCAACCTCGACGCTGCCAACAAGGCCCATCGCGAAAACCCCACCAGCGTGGATGACTCCAAGTTCTGGAACGTTACGTACCGCCTTCGCGATGCGTACGGTCTCCCTGACGCCAACACACGCTCCATGCATCTCCTCTTCAAGGAGATCAAGGAGGATGACAGCAAGTTCCGCAAGTACTGGAATTTCAACGACGGGCTGCATGGCGATGCGCCCGCTTGCAACGCGACGTGCAAGAAGCAGCGTCTTTGCCAGATGAGTGCCCAGGTGCATCAGCAGATGACCGACTGCCTCAATGGCTCTGGTCAGATGGTGGCCTCGCTGGTGCTTGTGGCGATCACTGCTGCTGCCGCACGAGTCTTTGGCTAGATGACTGTGGGTGCCGAGTTAAATTGGAGGGAATGGTGTTGTTGCCCGCTGGTGTGGGGAAGTCCCAGCGGTTGAGAGGTGGAATGAACAGAAACGTGCGACGCGTTACTGGTGTGTTTTGGTGAAAAGCGTCTGTAAAAAAGATCAGCGTGGGAAGAGGAAGAAATCAATTCCGCAGTAACAAACGTCCCAGCTAACGCAGTCGGTCTCGATGAGAATCTCAAAGGGTGGAAAACTTCCAAGGGGTGTGCCCTTAATGCTAACTGCCGATCGATTAGAAGGAACCGAAAGTCGCCTCCGAAAAGCCCAGTCGATGTTGATGATGGGGCCGAAATCGAAAAGGGCGCCATGGCGAGGGTGATTGCAATTAATTGCGACAGTATGTTATCGTTGACTGACTCTGCCTAACCTCATAGTCGTGCCCTGAATAAAAAGTTTAGCACGTTCAGCTTCTGTGCTTCTTAAGCGATGCTTGGTGTTTCCTTGTGTGACAATAGCGGAAATTCATGAATTATGTATTATTATTAAGTCGCGTAACGCGCCGCTTTTGATGACGTGTATTCATGTGTATTGCACACTTAATCGTGGCACCGCAACCTCATTGTTGCCAGGCTTCTGTCACCCTGCAATGAAGTCATTTATATGAGCCAACGGTGCACAGTTCACAAGCACAGTAGCTTGGCAATCTGCCAAAAAGTAATGCGCCGCTTTTCCATGAATGCCCGAACCACAGTGCTAGATGCGTTGAAACGTATGCTGCTCACCTGGTAAAGCACTCAGCTCAATGCTATCGTTGCTCTCTTCCGCCCATTGGTGTATTCTAGAAACTCAGTCTTGTGCTTAAGAATGTGTATCGAAATTGTTATCAGCGTACATGACCTTTAGCAACCAGCCAAGACTAGACGAGGAGCTTTTCATAGAGGTTGATTTTGCAGTGTTGTGTGCATTTAACAATGGGTCACCTCAAACGCTTCGTTGTTTGAGTGCACTGAATCGGAAGCAAACGTCGTCACATGCTGCACGCTTTGTTCATAGATAGACAGCGACTGACAGTTTTCATGTGCATTGTACAAACCCTTGGCCATGTGACGAAAATACATGAACAAACCAGACATCGGTATTTAGACATGGATGGACGATGAAAAGAAATGATTGATTTGGACGTGCCTGGTTCGATACGACATGAACATCAATGGTTTTGAATGTCTGACTGACGTCACTCAGCCTGAGCCAGCCAGGAGGTCATACATGACTGACATCATAAACTATGGTAACTTGTCTGGAAGGTGCTCAGAGTGTAACGTAAAGACACCGGAATCGTTTTCATGCGCTTTATTTAAATTTTCATAAATAGTTCGTGCCATGCCTCCAATTAATTTAGTTTGAACTTATAATATATAATTGGCTGCACAGTGCACACTCTAACCGCACATACATGATACACAATGGTAAATCACTGCATATCCTTTCACGGAAAACAAACGATAAACTGATGAAAAGATGAGGAAACAGATGAATGGAGATACCTAATAAACCGATACCAGCGGGTGTACCTTTGCGATATCGGACTTCAATGTTATTCACTATTGTCATGTTAAGGATTTATATTTTGAAATACAGCAGTGTTGTATTCCTGCTCGATTGCTAACATTTGTGCTATGGTAACTAGCGAGTAGCGACATCTCTGGACGCTGCAGTCAAACAGCATACAGATGTCACCACTAAACCTCGTTCACTAAACCAATGGAGGTCCACAACCAGACTCACCCCCACTTATAACAGTTAACACACCCCTTAACCCTCTAATTCTCCTCCCTCCCTCCCTCTACCCGGCACACTCACCACTCTGTCCTGGCGTGGCTCTCTCTCTCCCCTCTCTCTCTCTCTCTCCTCCTCTCTCTCTCTCTCTCTCTCTCTCGCTCTCTCTCTCTCTCTCTCTTTCTCTCTCTCTCTCTCTTCTCTCTCTCTCTCTTTCTCTCTCTCCTC